CTAATCATTGAGCAAGGCAGGCATTTTGGTAGGACAGGAGGATTGCTTGAGGCCAGAAGTTGAAGACCAGCCTAAGCAAGGGTGAGACCTTGTCTCTACAAAAAATAGAAAAATTAGCCAGGTGTGGTGGCTTATGCCTGTAATCCCAGGTACTCAGAGACTGAGGCAGGAGGATTGCTCAAGGCCAGGAGTTCGAAACCAGCCTGAGCAAGAGCGAGACCCTGTCTCTACTATAAATAGAAAGAAATTAATTGGCCAACTAATATCTATAGAAAAAATTAGCCAGGCATGGTGGCGCATGCCAGTAGTCCCAGCTACTTGGGAGGCTGAGGCAGCAGGATTGTTTGAGCCAGGAGTTTGAGGTTGCTGTGAGCTAGGCTGACGCCACAGCACTCACTCTAGCCTAGGCGACGAAGCAAGACTCTGTCTCAAAAAAAAAAAAAAAGAGTTCTGGTCAGGATTAAAAAATATATATGTAAAGTACCCAGCTCCGTGCCAGCACATGATATATGTCCATAATTATTGGCTATTTTCATTGTGTACATAAAACTCCTATTAATACTACAGATGACAACAACAATGAACACCATTATTCCTCTTTCCCTCCAGAGGACAATGGTCTTGAGTGAGTGTCTTAATTTTCTCATCTATTAAATGGGGAGAAAGACAGGACCTGCCCCATAGCGTTGTTTGGAGGAACAAATGAGCTTTTGTGTGTCAAGGGCTTAGTGCTGTGCTCAGCTCAAGACGCAAGACGTGTGATCTGCTTCTGAGGGTCTTTGAGATCCCCAGGGGCAAAGACAGGCCTTTGTACCTTCACCTTCCCCATGGGGGCAGGGACACCTGGGAGTTAAGTGGCTGCCAAGGTCCCAGCTTCCCACCATGCCCTGGCTACAGTCAAGTGTCTGAAGGCCCCAGGCCGGGGAAGGGCAGGGGTGGGGGGTAGACCTTGTGTTGCAGGTTCTCTGTCCATCCCTGCTGCTCAGCAACTCCTTGGCCACCCCAAGTCTATTTTTAAAGCAATTTGTCTGTGGCCCTTTGCAGGGGGCAGCTTCCCGGAGGCCAGCTGCCTGGCCCTGTAATTTGGGAAGATTGTGGGTATTCCTGGAGCCCAGGGGCAGCCTGTGGCCCAGAGCTGGGGCATTCGGGCTCCCAGCTGGGTGGGGCCTGGCCTCTGAGGTGGGATCAGGCAGCCGCTGACCCCTTTCCCCACCCACAGAGGGCCCCTCCAACCCTTGCCCTGCATGCTGGCTCCCGCAGTCCTGTCTTCCTGCTGCTTCTCTGGCTGCCAGGCACTGGGACCCCCGTGAGCAGGGCTGACTTGGGTGGAGGACTGTGGGCGCCCATCAGGAAAAGGGGTGATACCTGCCAGCCCTGCTGCCCAGGTGAGGCCAGGAGGCCCATTGTGTGGACAGGAGGTGCTCGTGCCTTTCTGCTCTCCCTCAAATCAAACCCACATGGGCCCTTCTCCAAAGGGTTTCTTAACCGCTGGCTTAGGGCAGTGGTTCACAAAGCGTGCTTCCTGCACCAGCTGCATTGCTGGGCACTTGCTAGGAATGCATATTCTCAGGTCTCACCCCAGACCTGCTAAATCAGAACCCTGCTGGTAGGCCCAGCCTTCTAGGCGATTCTGACACAGGCTCAGATTTGAGAACAACTGACTCAGAAGAAACAGTGGGGGAGGGGGCCTAAATAACAAATGTGGACAAGTTACAAAGACTCAAGAATCTTACCACCTCCTCACACTGTGATTTCCTCCAAGATGCCACCTGGGAGAGATTCCTGTACCCACCTTTATTCCTGAAGGTGGGGTTCTCTAAAGCTCCCCTCTCTTCCAACTCTGCCCTTTAAAGCAAAGGGCCCCTGATTCCTTCCTCTTAGGTAATAAGCATTCGAGACCACACCAGTCCCCACCTAGAAGTGGTCTCTGGGCATTTCCTCAAGTACAGGTGATCTTGGAGCCATCATTGTTGGTTAGGTGATCACAGACACAGCTCTTAACCTCTTTGAGTCTCAGTATTTTCATCTACAAATGAGGATAACAATAAACATTTCTATGGCACTCTCTAGTCTATAAATAGCCTTCATGTGAATTATCACACCTATTTCTCAAACCTGACAGGTAAGGTAGGAATCACTGATATCATAATCCCCATGTGACCAATAAGAAAACTGATACTTCACAAAAGCTGAGTTGTCTAGGTCACACACACAGTAGAAGGCACAACAGCAACATAAGACCAAGCCCCCTGATTCTCAGCAGCACAACCTGCCACCACCACGATGGCCAGCTTCAAGGGGCATTTGGGCTATTGGGTTAGGAACCCAACCAGGCTTTGGTGTGCATCCACTAGCAGCTGGGTGGTCTTGGGCAAGTTGCTTAACCTCTCTGGGCCTCTGTTTCCTCAATTATAAAATGAACACAATATGTATCTTAAGAGTTCTGGTCAGGGCCGGGCGCGGTGGCTCACGCCTGTAATCCTAGCACTCTGGGAGGCTGAGGCGGGCGGATTGCTCAGTCTGGGTTTCCGAACAGCCTGAGCAAGAGGATGGACCGCGTCTGCTACTATAAATAGAAAGAAATTAATGGAACTAATATCTATAAAAATTTAGCCGGCATGGTGCGCATGACCAGTCAGTCCCAGCTACTTTGGGAGGCTGAGCAGCAGGATCTAGTTGAGCAGGAGTTGAGTTGCGTGAGCATAGGCATGACCCACACAGCCTCACTCTAGCCTAGGCGCGACAGCAAGACTCGTCTCAAAAAAAAAAAAAAAGAGTTCTGGTCAGGATTAAAATATATATTGTAAGACCCCAGCTCCGTGCCAGCACAGATAATTCATAATTATTGGTTCTTCATGGTGACATAAAACTCCTATTAATACTACAGATGACAACAACCAATGAACCACCATTAGTCACTCTTTTCCTCCGAGGCAAATGGTCTTGAGCTGATGTCTTATTTTCTCATCTATTAAAAGGGGAGAAAGACAAGGACCTCCCCGATACGTTGTTGGGAGAACAAATGAGCTTATTTTTGTCAAGGGCTATATGCATGTGCTCAGGGCAAGACGCAAATGTGTGACATGCCTTTCTGAGGTCTTTATGAGAATAACACCAGGGGCAAAGACAGGCCTTTACCTTCACCTCCCCATGGGTGCGGCACCTGGGGTTATGTGGCTGCCAAGGTCCCAGCTCTCCCACCACTGCCCTGGCTCACACGTCAGTGTTGAAGCGACCAGGCGCGGGAAGGGCAGGTGGGGGGTAACCTTTGGTTGCAGGGTTTCTGTCCATCCTGCTGCTCAGCAACCCTTGGCACCCCAAGTCTATTTATAAGCAATTATTTCTGTGGCCCTTTGCAGGGGGCAGCTTCCCCGGAGGCAGCTTGCCTGGCCCTGTAATTGGAAGATTGTGGTTTCCTGGAGCCCAGGGCAGCCTGTGCTCCAGAGCCTGGGGCATTCGGCTCCCAGCGGGTTGGGCCCTGGCCTCTGAGGTGGATCAGCCCAGCTGACCCCTTTCCCACCAAGATGGGCCCTCCACCCTTGCCTGCATGCTGGCTCCCGCAGTTCCTGTCTTCCTTGAGCTTCTCATCTGGCTGCAGGCCTGGGCCTACCGTGCCAGGGCTGAATTGGGGTGAGACGTGGGCGCCCATCAGGGAAAAGGGGGTTGATACCTGCATCCGCTGCTGCCCAGGTGTGAGCCAGGAGGCCCATTGTGTGGACAGGAGGTGGACTCTGCTCGCAGCAAACCTGAACCTCACCTCCCTACCTCCCCTCCACCACTTACATGCCCCATTCACCAGGTCCCTGTGGACGCCTTCTTTTTAAATTGTCTCTAATGGGGCCGGGCGCAGTGGCCACCGCAGTAATCCTGCACTCTGGAGGCCGAGCGGGCGGATTGCCGGTTCAAGGAGTTCGAAACCAGCCTGAACAAGAGCGAGACCCCGTCTCTACCATAAATAGAAAGAAATTAATTGGTCAACTAATATATATAGAAAAAATGAGCCAGGCATGGTGGCACATGCCTGTAGTCCCAGCCACTCAGGAGGCTGAGGCAGCAGGATTGCTTGAGCCCAGGAGTTTGAGGTCGCTGTGAGCTAGGCTGACACCATGGCACTCACTCTAGCCTGGGCAACAAAGCGAGACTCTGTCTCAAAAAAATAAATAAATAAATAAATTGTCTCTAGTAAGTTCCCTCCTCTCTATGGAAACTGCCACTGCCTTTAAGCCTCATCTTCTCATGTCCAGACTATTTCAACACCTCCTACAGGTCTCCCTGCCTCCATCTTGCCTGCAGCCAGTCCAGTCCCCACTCGAGGACAGAGCGATCTTTTTTAAAATTATAAATGTGAGGATGCCAGCAACTCTTCAGGGGCTCCCCATCACCTCTAGGGTGAAGTCACAACCTCCAGCCTCCAAAGCTAAGCCACCCCACCACCCCCCTCTGACCCCATCTTCCACTTCCCTTGGCATTCCAACTACACTAACCTGCTTGTGACTCTTGCTAGATCCCCAGCACCTAGGACATGCTCAGCAAATGTTTCCTGAATAACAATAATTGTATTAACAATAGCTACCACTTATTGAACATTCACTTCCCATCAGGCACTGTGTTAAGTGTCTTATGTGCACGATACAACTTACTTTTCAAAACCTTCCTATTCACCATGTCCCATTCCTTTCCCCATTTTACAGATGAAGATGCTAAGGCTCAGAAAGGTTAAGCAACTTGCCTAAAGTCACACAGTCAATCAAGAGAGGTCCAGGTCTGGTTTCCAAGCCCATTCTGTAAGCTGCTGAATGAAGAGAATGCCCCATCTCTTCTGGGTTAGCCCACCCCACCCTGTCCCCCCACAAGTGTTCCCAATCCCAACTTTCCTACCTATCTCCTGGTGTATCTAGCATCTCCAATCCTGTCCAGAGCAGATTCCAGGGACCAGGAGTGGGGCTGAGCCATCCACCCTGGGAGTCCCCAAACCTGAGTCCTGCCCCCTTCCCCCAGATGTGGAACATGGAGCATGGGCGCTGGGACACAAACTGTGCTCCATCATGGTGAAGCAGGAGCAGAGCCCGGAGCTGTCCGTGGATCCTCTGGCCACCTCCTCAGCCATGGCTGCTGCTGCCGCCATGGCCACCACCCCGCTGCTGGGCCTCAGTCCCCTGTCCAGGCTGCCCATCCCCCACCAGGTGAGCCTGGGGACTATTCGTAGGCACTGAGGGAGGGGGAGGCCTGAGGGGTCTGTGGGAAGAGCAATCCGAGGCCCTGTGCTCCCAGAGCTCTGTGAACAGGGGGTGATGTGAACCTCAGGACTGAGGTGGGAACTCCAGCCCAGGCCTCTGCCTACCCTGCTGCCTGCCACTTCACTATCCTACAATGGGCACAAGTCACAGCACCCTCGGAGTAAGCTGAGGCCCCACTGTGTGCAGAAGAAAGCTTGCAAGGAGCCTGGCCGGGCTGGACAGCCATCAGGAGCTGGGCCACAGTCTCACAAGTGGGATAGCCAGGCCACTTTTCTCAAAGCTCCAGGATTTTAAAAACATGGAAATACAAAAATTGTACTATATTTCAATTATTTACATTCATGAGATTAATATATATATATTTAAATATGAAGGGGGGCAGTGGGCAGGGTTGTTCAGTTTCCTTGGTTTTTTTTTGTTGTTGTTGTTGATGAGACAGAGTCTCATTCTGTTGCCCTGGGTAGAGTGCAGTGGCGTCGTCATGGTAACTCACTGCAACCTCCAACTCCTGGGCTCAAGTGATCCTCCTCCCTCAGCCTCCCAAGATGCTGGAACTACAGACACACGCCACCACATCCAGCTTATTTTCCTATTTTTAATAGAGATAGGGTCTCACTCTTGCTCAGGCTGGTCTCCTGAGCTCAAGCAATCCCACCGCCTTGGCCTCCCAAAGTACTAGGATAACAGGCGTGAGATTAATATTTTTAACCCACACTCTGAAGCAATCTTCCCATTCCATGAATCCATAGATAACAGCATTCAGCTATAAATCCATGACCCTTCCGGAACGTGAAGCCCAGACCCCTGGCTCCTAGGAGAGGCCCTGCCTGAGTCCCAGCTCGGCTCCCCATTTTTGCTCTGAGCACGTTACAGTCCCTCTTTCTTCCTCAGCTTCCTTCTCTGTAAAATGGGCACATGAACTCCCCTAAGGTGCTTCTAGCCCTGAGGTTCCAGGATATGAGGATCATTGTAACATCCCCGGAATCAGAGCTTGGCTGGCTCTGCCCCCTGCTGGCCATGTAGCTCACTAACTCTAACTGGATGTGGCCAAAGGCAAGAACAGTCAGCCCCTCCCTGCCCAGCCAGTGACCAACGGTTGGCAGCAAATATGCAGCATCTTTCGACACCATCTCCAAGACTAGCTCAGGGACTCCTCAGGCCTTGCTGAAGCAGGAAGGGACGGCATGACAGCAGCAATAGCTGGGGCATGGAGGCTGGGTATGGGCTTCAGAAAAGGAAACTGAGGCTCAAGTTCAAGGGGTTATGCAATTTGCCCCAAATCACTGTCAGAAACAATTGAACTGCCTTCCAAACTCAGCCTGCCAGACCCTGAAGCCCACATTTTCCACTCTAGTGAGGTCAGGACCCCCAGCAGAAGGCACGGGAAGCAGGAGTTGCCATTGTCAACAATGTCCTACGCAACCCACCGTTCTGCACTGCAGACCCCTCGTCTGTCCCTTGAGGGCTGAGCTGGGATATAGACCAGAGAATTCCCAAGGTCCCTGCCAACTTGAACCTCTGTCATTCTGACTCATCAGCCTAAATTCAGGATTCTGTGTCCCACCCCCAATATCATGATTTCTTTGCTGGCTGCAGACCCAGAGCAGAGAGATGGTCCCGAAATCCAGCACCCAACACCATGCCTCTCTCAAAGAGAACACCACTCACGTGCGTGCTGGTAGACACATGTACAAAGCCATGCATGTTCTTGAAATTCTTCCTGGAACAAGTTGGAATATAAATAAATAGAAATGCATGTTTGTTAAAAATGTAAATCTGACTCCATCTGGCCCTTGCTTCAAACCCATTAGGGGCCCTCATTGCTTCAAGCTTCTTTGTCTGGATTTGTCTGGATTCTACTCCTACTTATACTCCAGGACTCATTTCAGACATCTACTAAGGGAGCTTTCTCTGAGCCCCAGCCAGTTAATGGCTGCTTCTTCTGTACTGTTGTCACCATTCACTGAACAGCTACAATGTGCCAGACGTTACCTCTCGTCCTCATGGTAACCGGCGTACCAAGGCCTGCATGGCCTTCACAGGCAGTGCAGGCTCAGCCTTCAGCAGGGAGGTGGCCCAGCCTCCTCTGAGCTTTAGGTCTGATCTAGACTACTTGGCCACTATTCTCTTAAGTGTTACTTGGCTTCTCCAAGTACGAGAATGTGCCTCTGTTCCCTTGGGGCTGTGCCCGGTACCCTGAGCCCAGCCACCTCCCCAATAGTGCAAGGCAGACCACCAGCCTTAGGGAGGGAGGTGGATGGACAGCATGGTAGGGACAGTCCCTGGGGCAGCTGACAGAGCTGGACCTGTCTCTTCCTCAGGCCCCAGGAGAGATGACTCAGCTGCCAGTGATCAAAGCAGAACCCCAGGAGGTGAACCAGTTCCTCAAAGTGACACCAGGTAAGTGTGTCCAGGAGAGGGGTTCTTTCCCCCTCCAGTCTTAGGCAGATAGCATCCCTACTTCCTTGGTCCACCCCAGTCCTGTCCCTTGACAATGTCACCTCTCCCCAGATTATCTTCTCTCCCTACCCACTCTCCATCCATCCACACTCCTCTCCTTCCAGTCCCCTTCTTACCCAGTGTGCCACTGCCATCACTGTGACCAACACCCTTGTACCCTCTCTGCTAATCCCCCTTCCACCTACTCACCAACTGAAGCTCACCCTATAGCCACCCATCATCCATCTGTCCATCCATCCATCGAGAGTCCACTGGATGGCATCTCACACTCCCAGGCACTGGGGAATCAGAGAGAGAAGACAGTCCCTGTACCCAAGTAGATCACAGAGTCACAGGGTCACAGACAAACCACCAGTTACACAGCAGTGATATGGGTGTGCAGATGGCAGATCCCCAGGGAGCCTTGGGAGCACATCCCCAGACCAGACAGGAAAGAAGGGGACTTCCTAGAAGAGGAAGCTTCCTAGAGTTGGCCAGAAAGAGAAAGGTTAATAGACTCTTTCCAATCCTGCTCATTAATTCATCAAACACTGATTAAGCATCTACTGTGTATCAAGCTCTAGGCTAAGTACCACAAGGTTTAGAAAGAGAATAAGGCCAAAGTTTCACCCTCAAGGTGCACACAAGGACACACACAAGGTAGAAAGAGACTCGTGTCAACACGCCTTACATTGCAGAATACCTGTCGGTGCCTAAAGCAGGTACATTAGCCCATTGCATCCTTGCAGCTCTGAGCTGGGAGTCGTTTCACAGAGGTTAAGTAAACATAATGAAGGTCACTGAGTTGGGAGGTGCTATATTCGGGACTTGACCTCAGGTCTCCCTGACTCCAAATTGAGTGGTCTTTACAGCGTGGCATCCGTAAGAGGCAAATAAGTGTCACAGGAAGGAGAGGGGACTCCTCCAGGAGGCAGCCTTGTGCGAGCCTGGAAGGATGCAGTGGTTCCTCCTCCCAGCTCACCCTGCGCTGTGATGCGGTGGAGCCCCAGGTCTCCACATGCAGAATTGTCTGGGCATTCTGGGCTGTCCCGGAGCTCTCCCTGCATCTAGGCTCTTGGTCCTTGGCTCTGCCTGGGCCTCTCTGGCACCTCTCCCTGACACCTGCAGTCTTCCTGGTGCCATGGCCACAGAGGGGACAGCATAGGGGGAGCTGGGCTCCTTGCTGGTCTGCTGAAGTCCCAGTGCCTGCTATCCCATTACCCTGAAATTGGACATGCAAACCCTGGGGTGACTATCGTGGTCATGTCAAGGACCAGGCTCAAAGGAGCCAGACCACTGTGGTGTCAGAGACAGGGCAGCACTCAGGAATCGGCTTCTGGGACATCACCTATCTTTCTGACACCACAGAGGGGCTCCTGATGTTACAGCTGTGGGCAAGGGCCTGGCAGTCCATGTCCCACGGTGTCAGGGCTGGTGCAAGCCCAGGCCAGGCGGAACTCACGATGTCAGAGCAGAGCTGGGGTGCCACCCTGCTAACCTGGTTTCTCCTGCTCTCTCCAGAGGACTTGGTGCAAATGCCTCCAACGCCCCCGAGCAGCCATGGCAGTGACAGCGACGGCTCCCAGAGTCCCCGCTCTCTGCCCCCCTCCAGCCCTGTCCGGCCCATGGCCCGCTCCTCCACGGCCATCTCCACCTCGCCCCTCCTCACTGCCCCCCACGTAAGGAGCTGGGGGTGGGCTGAATAAATCTGCCCCAGCACACCGACCAGTGGGGAGGGTCTGGGAGCCCCAAGCTCGAGCCCCCTGTCCCCATCAGAATTCAGAGAGGAACCTGCCTGGCAGATGGAAAGGAGAGTCTTTTCATCCTGCCTCACGGTGAACAGGAAGCTGAGGTAGAGATGAGACCAGAGAGGCCTGCCCAAGCCCACACTGTTGCAGAACCAGAACTAGAACTTGACCTTCCTGGCCCCCAGGGGGTGACCAGGCTGCCTCCAAGAAGCACTGTATGGGGAGCAGTGCTCAGGAGGCCCAGAACCCCCCAGGAAACATAGAGCTGGGCCCTGCGCCCTGGGGTGGGCTTGGAGCCTCCCAAGTCAGGATTATAAGTTGGGGCCTGAGGGGTGCTGTTTAGGGAGCCCCGGACAAGTGAGCTGGGAGGCTATGGTCTCAGAGCAGGGGATCCAGGGAGCCCCCAAACAGTAGACTGAGTGTCTGACAAATGGGGCTCCCAGCACCATCCTAGCACTTGATACCTGTTCCTGGGTTTAGCTCAGGCCCTGACCACCCCGTGTTCAGATAAGGAAACTGAGGCTCAGAGGGCTGAGTGCCTCGTCCCGGTCAGACAGATAGTACGTGGCAGAGCTTGAGTTTGAGCCCAGGCCTGTCCGGTTCCTAACTACCATGTCCTATATCCTGCAGAAATTACAGGGGACATCAGGGCCACTGCTCCTGACAGAGGAGGAGAAGCGCACCCTGATCGCTGAGGGCTACCCCATCCCTACGAAACTCCCCCTCACCAAAGCCGAGGAGAAGGCCTTGAAGAGGGTCCGCAGAAAAATCAAGAACAAGGTAAAACCTGAGCCAGCCCCCAGCCCTGGCCCTGGGGCTTCAGAGGGCTCCCCTGGGGGGTGAGGCCTCTGCTCCCCTAGCGATGCCAGCCCTGAAATTGGGGGGCAGGAAGTGGATATGTGGCCATGGTAACCCTTGTTTTGGGGCCTCCTCCTCTAGATCTCGGCCCAGGAGAGCCGCCGTAAGAAGAAGGAGTATGTGGAGTGTCTAGAAAAAAAGTAAGGATCCCAGGAGGGCGGGGGACCTGGGCCCCACTGCCTCTCCTGGCCTGCACACCCCAGTCCTCACTCGTCAGGTGCAGAGGCAGGGGGTACAGAGAGTGGGATGGTGGTGGGCCAGGCTGAGGGGCCATAGTGAGTCCGGGGCTGCCCCTAAGCCTGCGCCTGCTTGGCCCCTACAGGGTGGAGACATTCACATCAGAGAACAACGAGCTGTGGAAGAAGGTGGAGACCCTGGAGAATGCCAACAGGTGTGTGGTGCCGCCTGCCCTTCTGCAGCCCACGCCTGGCTCTAGGAGGAAGGAGAAAGGAGAGATAACCAAGTTTAGGATGACAAGGACACCAGAAATAGTCCCTGTGGCCTGGAGCCTCCTATGTCTTGCCCCTCCCTGCTTTCCCATTTCTCCTCCCCTGTGCATAACTCCAGACACCTGAGAGGCCAGGGAGCTGCTTAAGTGCGTATACAGCAGACATTTCCAAAGTGGGGTCCTCAGACCTGCAGTGCTAGCATCCCCTGGGAATATTAGAAATGCTTATTCTCAGGCCCCAAGCCAGGTCTACTGAATCAGAAGCTCCAGGGGTGGCGCCCAGCAATCTGTGTTTTAATAAGCCCTGTGTGTAATTCAGATGCACCCTTGTTTGAGAACCACGGGTGTAGATCGTTGCTACTCAGAGCTGGTTCCCCAGGCAGGCAACACCAGCATCACTTGGGAGCCCGTTAGAAATGCGGAATTTCGGGACTCTCCAGACTAACTGAGCTGGAAACTGTATTTTAACAAGATCCTTGGGAGATTCACATGCATGATTAAATTTGAGAAATATTAGTGTAGACAGACCAGCACAGTGCCTGGCATGTAGCAGCTACATAAAGTCACATCACAGCTCTGGGCTCTTGCCCTGCTCTGCCATTTTTGTGCCTATGGGGAAATTGTGAAACCTCTCCGGGCCCCAAAGCATGATGCTGTAGGATTAATGTGAGGATTTAATGAGATGGTGCCAGTTAAGAACCCAGCATGGTGCTTGGCGTTTAAGAATGTGCAATTCGTGTTAGCTTTTCTTCTTCTCTTCTTCTTTTTTTTTTTTTTTTTTGACAAGATTCTCTCTTTGTTGCCCAAGCTAGAGTGAGTGCCGTGGCGTTAGCCTAGCTCACAGCAACCTCAAACTCCTGGGCTCAAGCAATCCTGCTGCCTCAGCCTCCCGAGTAGCTGGGACTACAGGCATGCACCACCATGCCCAGATAATTTTTTCTATATATATTAGTTGGCCAATTCATTTCTTTCTATTTATGCTAGAGATGGAGTCTCCCTCTTGCTCAGGCTGGTTTCGAACTCCTGACCTCAAGCAATCCTCCCACCTCGGCCTCCCAGAGTGCTAGGATTACAGGCGTGAGCCACCGCGCCCAGCCTTCTTCTTTTATTACCATTATTATTATTCTGAATTCTTGGGAGTGCCCAGCCATGATCCCATGGTAGGTCTTTAAGAATTATTTGCTCGGATTAATGACAGTAGCGTAGACAACAGCCTGGTATGTAACAGGTGCTCAACACAAGACTTTTTCCTTCTTTCCTTCCTTCTTCTCCCCCAGCTTCTCCAGCGGGATCCAGCCACTCCTCTGTCCCCTGATTGGCCTGGAGAATCCCACCTGACACCCCCCAAATCTCGCCCCTCTAATTCTGGCTGGGATTCTTTTCTGACTCCAAATAGAGCCAAGCCCTTGGAGCTATTTCGCCACCTGCTGTATATTCTGGAAACTGCAACCCCCGCCGGCCTGGTTGGTGGAAAAAGATGATTAAATATTTGCCCACCAAGCTGTGCCAAACACCCCTCTATGTGCGCCCAGAAGATTCCCCACTGGGTGAGACCCAGTCCTCACCATGAGAGAGCCAACAGTTAGTGAAGGATACTGACATAGACATCTATAAATAAACGAAGTGTTACAGGTGCTGAAATAAAGGCAAAAACACTAATAATATTAACAAAGACAATAGCTACCCTCTACTGGACCCTCACTGCATACCAGGCACGGTGCCAAACAAGTCCTTCCTGTCAGCCCAGGGTGTGGTGGGTGTCCAGGAGGGAAGGTCAATGTATCTGCGGCTGGTGCAGGGTAAGGAAAAGAAGGACGTCCTCAGCCCTGGTGGGGACAGGCCTTCCCTTCTCCAACCCCCTACATAGGCCATGTGCATCACAGGGCACCTCTGAGTGTCCATAGGGTGACCCAGCTATCCACCGCGAGCCACACTGCGGAGGAACTGAGCAGGAGGTGACCTTTCTTGTCTTGAGCAAAATGGGCACCTGGTGTGGAGACCGAGATTGGAGCCAGCCCAGGTGCCCCCGGCCCCCGGGAGAGCTCCAGGAGGCAGCGATGCCTGCTGGGTCACAGCCTGCCGGGTGACCACTGTGCCCTCCTCAGGACCCTGCTCCAGCAGCTGCAGAAACTCCAGACTCTGGTCACCAACAAGATCTCCAGACCTTACAAGATGGCAGCCACCCAGACAGGGACCTGCCTCATGGTAGGTGTCTCTGGCCACCACAGGCCCACGGAAGGACAGCTCTTCCCTAGCCTGGCTTTTCAGGGGGGTGGGCAGAGCTCTGAGGGATTGGTGCCGTCATGGGCAGCATCACTGGGGTAAACCCTCCCCATGTCTGGTGGGCTGGCTCAGGCAGACCCCAGCCGCCTTCTCTGAGCCCATGAAGCCTTCTGCAAGGCCACCTTACCTGACCAGCTAACTCAGTGCAGGTGTGAAGGTGATTCCAGTGAATCGGCCAGAGGATGGCAGGGCAGGTCCAGTGAGGAGATGGCCTCCACAGGCCCTGTAGAGTGAGGGGCTTGGGGAGACTCAGGGAAGAACAGACGAGGCTCTTTCTAGAATGGATGATGGCAAAAAGGCTGAGCAAACCCCTAGAAACCCAGAGGGTGGCCAGGCTATGGCTCAGGCCTCTGCTAGTTCCTCTTCCATCCTTGCCTGGAAATGTCCAACCTGTTGTCACCTGACTCAGTATTCCCCGGCCCTCTGAAATCCTCCAGCTCCAAGTGGCAGGACCAGGATATGGGCAGGGGGTAGTGTGCACTCCCTGACTCTCAGCTCCTCCTGCTGAGCATGTGACATGGGGACATGTCCCACTTTCAGGTCCCAGCCCCACTTACCCCGTTCTTCCTTTCCTAATTCCTCCAGCCCATAAGCAATTCACTCTGACCACTTATGTCTGGTTTCTTAGAAAAATACTGAGACTTTTGTACCCATTGCTTTGTGGGGGGAGCACTGGGGGTGGTCAGGGCCGAGTCCCTCCTTGCCCCTGATCTGACACCACTCCCTCTCTGCTACCAGGTGGCAGCCTTGTGCTTTGTTCTGGTGCTGGGCTCCTTTGTGCCCTGCCTTCCTGAGTTCTCCTCCAGCTCCCAGACTGTGAAAGAAGACCCCATGGCGGCAGACAGCGTCTACACGGCCAGTCAGAGTGAGTGCCCTCCTCTCCTGCCAGCTCTCTAGGCTGGCCTCCCCCAGTCCCAACTTCTGGGCAGAAGCTAAACCCCAAAGAGGCACAAGTTTGGAGTTGGCATCATCTCATTCTACTTCCTCCTTTTCCAGATGGGGAAACTGGCCCGACGAGGGTCACTGATTTGCTCGATGTTAGTGGTAGAATTGGCGCTAAAATACAGAGTTGCTAACCCCCAGCCTGCCTCCCAGAGAGCTTCAGGAGTGGCTTGTGGGAGGTGGATTTAGGGGATAAGAGGAATGTTCCGGCCTTAGCCCCCATGTTTTATGGTGCTATGGTTATGGGCATCTGCTAAGCACCATCAGTATTTCACAACAGGAATAGCAAAGGAGTTTCAGCTCAAGGGCCATTTCCAATAAGGTGGTGGCTGCCTGAAGCACTGTGTTAAGAAGGACTCTGAGGCACCATTCAGCATCAACAGGAGGGAGTGTCATGATCCATTGGTTATGTGTATCATGGACAGAGGGAGGGCAGCGGTGGTGTGAGTCCAGATGTTTGCCATTTCCATGAGAGGTTATGAGGTGCAATGGTTAGGAGCACCGAGCTTTTTTTATAATTATTTTTTGAGGCAGAGTCTCACTTTGTTGCGCAGGATAGAATGAGTGCCATGCATCAGCCTAACTCACAGCAACCTCAAACTCCTAGGCTCAAGCGATCCACCTGCCTCAGCCTCCTGAGTAGCTGAGACTATAGGCACGAGCCACCATGCCTTTTTTGTTTCTATTTTTAGTTGACTGGCTAATTTTTTCTATTTATAGTAGAGACGGGGTCCTGCTCTTGCTCATGCTGGTCTCGAACTCCTGACCTTGAGCAATCCTCCTGTCTCGGCCTCCCAGAGTGCTAGGATTACAGGCGTGAGCCACCGTGCCTGGCCAAGAGCACCGAGCTTTAGAGTCAGTCATAACTGCTGCTTGCTAACTGTGTGACGTGGGGCATGTGTCTTAAGCTAAGCTTTCATTTCTTTGTCTGGAAAATGAGAGTTGCGATTCTGCACTTACTGACACTCGGCAGTGTCTGTGCTTACTGCATGAGCACACCCGCTGCCTTTTGGAGGCACTCACAGGAGCGGGGAAGAGGTTCACTATGAGGCTGGCAAGGGGAGAACTGTGGTAGGGCCCACAGAGATCAGTACAGGTTTCAGAGGCAGAGGAGCCTTAGGTGGACCAAAGAGGAACTTCCTAGCTGCTCTTCATCACTCACCAAGAACCAGGCATCTGGCACGGCAGGAGGAGGAAGAGGAAACAGACGGGAGGTCAGAGAGAGGGGAGGACTGAGCTTGGAGGAGGGATACTGCGTGGAGGATGTGTAAGACATTGAGGGCCTTCAGGGGAGGAAGCCAGCGTGGGGAGGGCTGGGGAAGAGGAAGTGAGGGTGGGGAGAGCGAAAGCCACTCCCTGGACAAGTGCGGCCTGCAAAGGAGAGGACAGGATGGTTGCTAGGGGGGTGGGCACCAACCATGCAAGGTCTTGAGAGCCACGTGTCTGTTTTTCCAAGGCCAGAGAGGCCAGTGGAGAGAAAGGAATGGAGAGGGTGGGGTTGCAGGAGAAAGCCAGAGTGAAGGAATGAATGAATTCCTCGGAGGGAATGCAGGTCTGGGCAGGGCAATGAGGACGACATGTCCGAAGGAGCAGATGGCTTCTGAGCAGGCAGGTGTGTAGAGCTAGCGCATTGCACAACTCCAGGGACAGACAGCCTTTCACATGGATCCTAAAGTCACGGCTGGCAGAGCTGGAAGGGAGCTGGCGGATCCCGGAGCCAGGCAGACCTGGGTTTGCATCCTACCTTCAGTGAGGACTAGCGTGGGACAACTTACCTGAGTACCTGGAACGTCAGTCACCTGCTGTGGGAAGCAGGGCTAAAGAAACCTCATTCCTGATGGTTTCCGTAAGACTTTAGCAACTTGACTTGACGTAGGTTTAAGGGCCTTGCATAATGCCTGGCACTTGGTGGGTGTCCAACAAATGTTTGTTTTGTTTCTTGTCATTTCCCTGAAGGGCAAACTAGGGCCAAGAATGGGGAAGAGACGTCCTCCAGGTCTCACAGAAAGAAAGTGGTGGAGGTTAGAGCCCGACTCCCAGGTGCCCAGACCCAGTGCCCTCCGCTTAGGAAGAGCTGACTTTTCGGAGTGTTTACTAAACACAGTTTCAATCACTTCGCCTGTATCACCTCTTTTAAACCTCACATCTACATGAGGTTGGTTCTAGTATCCCCGTTTTACAGATGAGCAAACTGAGGCTCAGAAAAGTTCAAGCATAATGTGTGTGACTTCCTCAAGGTCACACAGCCAGGAAATGTTAGAGCTGGGATCTAGATCCCAGCTTGTAAGAGTCCAGGGCCGGAGTCCCTAACTAGTAGGCCATGGATGAGGCTGGGATGGGGGGTTCCTTGGCCACCCACGATTCATCCCACGCTCCCTCTCCAGTGCCCTCCCGGAGCCTCCTGTTCTACGACGAGGGGGCGGGCTCATGGGAGGACGGCCACAGAGCCCTGCTGCCCAGGGAGCCCCCAGACGGCTGGGAAATCAAGCCTGGGGGGCCGACAGAGCAGCGACCCCCGGACCACCTGAAGCATGACCACCTGGACAGCACCCACGAGACCACCAAGTACCTGAGCGAGGCCTGGCCTGAAGACGTCAGTGGAAATGGCACCAACCCCGACTTCTCCCACCCCAAGGAGTGGTTCCACGACAGGTGGGTACGTGGTCCCTTCCCTTCCTGGGGTCCCAGGCTCCACCTGCCCTCGGCTCCCACCCTAGGCCCCACATCTCAGCCACGCCCTCTCAAAGCCCCATCCCACCGCGTGTGGATCCAGCTTGCAGAGGGGTGAGAGGGTTCCCGCAGGACAGTCACCCCTGGCTTCTCTTCTCTTTCCAGGGACCTGGGTCCCAACACCACCATCAAACTCTCCTAGGCCGTACCAAGACCCAGGACCCAGGACTCACCCCCGGCAACCAGAAGAGGCGTTGACTTGCTCACTAACCCGGATCCGGCTCATCGTACCTCTGCCCCTGGAGTGTCCCCTCCAGGAGAGAGGGTTCCACCTCCCAGTCCTTCTTTGCCCCACATCTTGGCCGGAGCCTCCTCTCCGCCTGACATTCGGACTGTTCCCTTGGGCCAACCACTCTGTTCTCACCGCTCCCCCCACAACCATCCGTCCTCAGATGAACCACTCACTGGCCGCCCCTCCTCCTTTCCCACAATGACCAACTCCACCACGGCCTCCCGGCCCCCACACGTGCACACAGCCAGACACATGGACGTCCCCCCACAGCCCCCACCCCGCTCCCACTGTACAGAGACCAAGAACAGAAATTGTTTGTAAATAATGAACCTTATTTTTTATTATTGCCAATCCCCTAAGATATTGTATTTTACAAATCTCCCTCCTCCCTCCACCCCTCCCTTGTTTTATATTTTATGAAGTTAGTGCGGGCTTTGCTGCTCCCTGGCCCAGGACAGAGGGACCCTCCCACCCTCACCTGGCCTCCCCCTGCTGCTGCCCAAGCGCTGGGCCTTTTTACTTGCCAAACTGCTCCCTCCATTAGCTCAGCACAAGCTTTAAGAACGCAAAATTTAAAAAAAAAAAAAGATGCAGCATCAATTTCCTGACTTTGTGCCTTTCTTCACGGTGGGGGGCAAGTGGGACTGAGGGGGGCAAGAAGGGTGAGTTTATTTTACATCCCTGCAGGGGGCGTGGCGGGTAGAGGGGTGTGAGAAGGCATCTCTGCTGGGCTCCCTCTTCCAGCCAGGTGCAAAATCCAAACTAGACAGCCAACGGAACTCTGCCGCAACCCCCACGCCAAGGCTGCTCAGGCACCTGCTGCTGCTGAGCACGGAGGCGCAAGAGCCGCCGTCTCGGCTTTGTGGACAGCACGGGCCCGCTGTGGACCGGGCACCCTGCTAGGCACGTTACACACGTACCCACTTCGGTCCTCCTAAGACCTGCCAGTGTCTTAGTTCTTGTGTCCTTTGCCTCAGCTGGGTCTTGGTACAGCCTAGGAGAGTTTGATGGTTGGTGCTGGGACCCAGATCCCTGGAAAGAGAAGAGAAGCCAGGGGCGACTGTCCTGCGGATGAAAAGCACAGACTTCAGAGTAAGAAGAGCTGCATCTGAGTATTGGAGCTGCCAATTGCTAGCCGATAACATGGCTTCTGAGATCCCCACCCGGCGTAAACGCCCTGTTGAATCCCCTGCCCTAGAATAAGGAGGGGACTTGTGACTAGGAGAAGATGTCATGCCCATAATTAGATTACCTCTTAGGGTAAAAGCAAAGAGATTTTGGAAATGTAATTGAGGTCCCAAATCAGTTGATTTTGAGTTCATTAAAAAAGGAGATACGCCCAGGCCCAGTGGCTCATGTCTATGATCCTAGCACTGTGGGAGGCCGAGGCGGGAGGATCACTTGAGCCTGGGAGTTGGAGGCTGCAGTGAGCTATGATGATGCCACTGCACTCCAGCCCAGGCAGGTGACAGAGTGAGATCTTGTCTCGAAAACAAGACAACAAGAACAGGCCAGGCGCGGTGGCTCACGCCTGTAATCCTAGCACTCTGGGAGGCCGAAGCAGGCGGATCACTCAAGGTCAGGAGTTTGAGACCAGCCTGAGCAAGAACGAGGCCCCGTCTCTACTAAAAATAGAAAGAAATTAATTGGCCGACTAAAAATATGGAAGGGAAAAAATTAGCCAGGCATGGTGGGGCATGCCTGTAGTCCCAGCTACTCGGAGGCTGAGGCAGAAGGATTGCTTGAGCCCAGAAGTTTGAGCTCTCTGTGAGCTTGGGTGACGCCACAGCACCCCTAGCCAGGGCATCAAAGTGACACTCATCAAAGTGAGATTCTGTCTCAAAAAAAAAAAAGAAAGAAAGAAAGAAAACAACAAGAGCAAAGGAGATCACCCTGGGTGGGCCTGACTTAATCAGGTGAAAGCCATTAACAGATGGACTTGGCCCTTCCTGAACAGAGATAGCACCCACTGCTGGCAGGAGCCAGACAGCCAAGCTGTGAAGGGGAGGGTAGTTGCTAGGAGCCGAGGGCCCCAGTGCTAGAGCAGCAAGGACCAGAATTCTGCCAACAACCTGAAGAAACAGAAGAAGATCCCAAACTCCAGATGAGAAGGCAGCCCAGACCACACCAGAGCTGCAGCCGTGCGACACCCCGAGCAGAGGACCCAGTTAAGCTGTGTCCATACTCTGAGCCACGGAAACGGAGATAACAAATGTGTGCTGCTTTAAACTGCCACGTTGGTGGTAATTTGTTACACAGTTTAGGAAACTAAGACACTCTCTCACCTGAATCTCTCCAAGCCTCCATGTCTCCATTTGTAAAATGAGGCTGTCTCGGGGACTCAAGGAGGTAAGTTACGTAGAGAGCTTAGAACAGCCGGCTCAGCGAGTTCTGAGAAACGTTAGCTGTGCATCCGGAGGCCACGACAGCAACACAACTTGCTAAGGGCCGAGCAAAGGATGCTACGACGGCTCAGAAGAGAGTGCTGCCCAAACCGAAGCAGCAAGGGCTTCCTGGAGGAGGTGACAGGAAAGACTGTTGGAAGGAGGCAGGAAAGAGGAAAGGGGAGTTCCAGAAGGAAGCAGCAGCCTGGGCAAAAGACTCCAGGGTGGGAGAGAGCAGGAAAACGTGGAGAAAATAGTTCACAATAGCAGGAAGATAGAGGACAGGGATGCTGGTGGGCAGGGGCCAGATCCAGAGGGGTCACAAATGCTATGACACTTGGACTTCATCACGCAGGCTCGGTACTTGCGGACACAGAAGCAAAGGCATGGTGGTGGGATGGTGCCTACGCCAGCCACCCACCAGGAGAAAAGCTGGAGCAGACCAGACAGAATTATGAAAACTCAGAACTGGCCTCTGTGCCCCTTCCCCTGCTGCTTCAGTTTGCCCAATTCCAGCGACAGGGACCTCACTGTTGGGCATCAGGGTTTTTTTTGTTTTTGTTTTTTGAGTTTTTTTGAGACAGAGTCTCACTCTGTTGCCCCAGCTAGAGTGCCATTGCATCAGCCTAGCTCACAGCAACCTCAAACTCCTGGGCGATCCTTGTGCCTCAGCCTCCCCAGTAGCTGGGACTACAGGCATGTGCCACCATGCCCGACTAATTTTTTCTATATATTTTTAGTTGGCCAATTAATTTCTTTCTATTTTTTTTAGTAGAGATGGGGTCTCAATCTTGCTCAGGCTGGTCTCCAACTCCTGACCTTGAGCAATCCTCCCGCCTCGGCCTCCCAGAGTGCTAGGATTACAGGCGTGAGCCACGGTGCCCGGCCCTGGGCATCAGTTTTAACTGCTGGAAAATATAGACCTTTATAGCAAGGCTATTAACAGCGGGGCTCTGGATCTCAAGCTATTATTATTAGCAATAACTTTTAGCACACCCCCTTTCCTGATTGAGTCATCCATTCCTTCTATTAGTCATTCAACAAATTTCCTTCAAGGGCTGCAAGGCTGGGGGTGGAAGTTGAGTAAACCAGACATAGGGGCTGGTGTGATGAAGGAGTGTACATGAAAGACGTTAAGGGACACAAAAAAGTATCATGCAATTCAGATGTGGGGGTCAGGGAAGGCAACCAGGAGGGGATGACCCTTCCTTGAACTGAGTCTTTCTTTCTTTTTATTTTTTATTTTATTTTTTTTTTGAGACAGGGTCTTGCTCTGTCACCTGGGCTACAGGGCAGTGGTGTCATCATAACTCACTGCAACCTCCTGGGCTCAAGTGATCCTCCTGCCTTAGTCTCCCAGGTAACTAGAACTACAGGCACATGCCACCAGGTCTGGCTAATTTTTTTATTTTTCATAGAGATAGAGTCTCGCTATGTTGCTCAAGCTAGCCTTGAACTCCTGGCCTCAAGCAATCCTCCTGCCTTGGCTTCCCAAAGTTCTGGGATTTCAGACATGAACACCACTGCACCTGGCCTTGAACTGAGTCTTAAAGGATGGTAAGAGATTTTGGTAAGATAAGGACAGGGGTAAGAGTGTCTGGGGTACAGAGAATGGCAAGTGGAAAGGCATAGAGCTAGGAAAAGCAAAACTGGGGTGAGACAAGTGGGCACTTGTACCACTCTGAGAAAGTGTACCTCCTTAAATTTGGCACCCTACTCACCAGCTTGCCTTACCCTAGTCCTGGCCCCCAAGAAAATTACGGCCCTTTCAGAGATCTAAGGAAAGAACACTTTGTCCTGAAGGTGAGCTGCTGAATATTTCTAAGGCGGAGAGTGAGATAATCAAAATTGCCTGTCCTGAGGCTCTGCAGGGGGGATGAAGAAGACGAGATGATTCCAGAGATAACTAGAAGGAATTACCAACAGGCTCTGACATCAAATTGGGTGTGAGGGGCTAGAGCGAGGGTGAAGCCGGCAATGACATTTAAGTGTCTGACTTGGAGGCCTGGGTGGATAATGAGACCGTTCTCCAAGACAGGGAATTCAGGAGGAAGATCAGGGTTGGAAAGAAAGATTAGAATTCATTTGAGCACATCTGGCATTTGAGTTGCCTGTACAACATTCTCATCGATGCGTAAGTCTAGGGCTTTGGAAAAAGTGGCTTCCCAAAGTGTTAGGATCCCAAGCAGAGATTAGGAAATTGTAAGCAACTGGGTGGTATGTCAGTCTGCATAAACGGATGTCAGGTAAGGGCAGAACTCCAGGGAAGACAGACATTGAGATGGGAGTAAGAGGAGTGAACAAGAAGGCTGAGAAGGAGCAGTGCCCAGAAACTGCTGGAGGAGCTTCCAGGAGTGGCGGTCAGTGGTGTCGGATGCCGCGTGGGAGGTCGGGCAAGATGAGAACAAGGCAAAGCGTCCTTTCATTTTGACGATGAGGAGGTCACCAGGGACTTTGGTAGGAGCTGTGTCAGGGAGGGACTGTGGCAGAAGTGGGACAGCCCAGGTGGAAGTGAGGACAGGAGGGCCAGAAATGAAGGCGCAGTGGCTCACGCCTGTAATCCTAGCACTCTGGGAGGCTGAGGCGGGCGGAGTGCTCGAGGTCAGGAGTTGGAAACCAGCCTGAGCAAGAGCGAGACCCCGTCTCTACTATAAATAGGAAGAAATTAATTGGCCAACTGATATATATAGAAAAAATTAGCCAGGCATGGTAGCACATGCCTGTAGTCCCAGCTACTTGGGAGGCTGAGGCACCAGGATCGCTTGAGCCCAGGAGTTTAAGGTTGCTGTGAGCTAGGCTGATGCCATGGCACTCACTCTAGCCTGGGCAACAAAGCAAGACTCTGTCTCAAAAAAAAAAAAAGAAAAGAAAAGAAATGAAGGCTGGGGAAGTCGGGGTGTGGGTGATCTCTTCCAGATGAAACAGGGTGGCAACCAGAGGGTAGATGTGGCAGGATCAAGAGCAGATCGGGGCTGTTTTTCAGTTGGGAGAGCGCTGACCATGGTTATTTCTAGAAGACAAAGAGCCAATACAAGGAAGACAGAGGGAAGAAAGAGGGTGATGGATAGGGGGTGGGAATGGGATCCAGGGGGCCGGGTGTTGGTCCACCTTGGACCGGAGAGGCCTGGGCTAAAGGGTGGGGTGTTGTGTGGCTGCAGGAAGCAAGGAGGCAGGAAACCGAGGGACCCCCCAGTGACTGTGAGGTGTGGGGCTTGG